TGACAACAACCAAAACAATTAACATATCATTAACATACAAACAAATCATGGTACATTTTCTAACATTAAATTTACCATTCCAAACAAGTATATGGATTTTGTCTTTATCCTTCCCTTTGTTCTCTTAGATCTTATAGACTGTCCTTCCTTCATCACATGCACTCTCTCATAAGCACTTATGTCTTTTGTTATCATCTTTCTTTCCCCATATTCCTCTTATATGAGATGATTCCCTAATTGCTGAAGAGAGAAATTTTCATCCTTATATCAAATACTCTTTTAAGGTCTTTCCATAAAGAAGGAAGTTCATCAATGATTGAAGAAATAATTATGGTTTTATCCATGTGCATGATCTTATCTGAAACAATTCAAAACATCAATTCATGCATTTATTCCATAATAGATGTTTCAGCAATTGTTCTAATTAAAATTAGAACTGAACATGATAATTATCAACTCATCTAATTGACATTAGAATTTGGCATGATAATGTAGAAACTTATAACTAAAAATCAATTATGCCAATTATAGCTTTCTAACCATAATTAAAACTATATATTTTCACTAGCCAAACATCCAAATAATTATATCAATAAATAATTGCAACAAACTAGAACATGAACAGACCTCATGAATATATAAACCCCAATAAATAAATAGAGGTAAATTAATACTTATTTGTCTCCTTTGAAATTGACCAAGGAATTTAAGAAATCTTTTTTTGCAATGTCCTAAATTGATCACCACATCCTTGTAATGGTTGTGCCACCTTAAAAAAAGTTGCCTCCTTCAAATCTTTCCAATCAATACCTCATGAAGTTTGTGATCAACTCCTTCAATGAAGCCATTTGTAGCATGCGATATGAAGTCTAAAGTCATTGGCAAGGATGGCTCTTTGAAGAATAAAAGAAATAGAAATGAAGATGAAAGTTGTGCACAACGTCTTTAACGCATAGACAAAGCTTTTCTTTATGCTTAATTCATCCCTCATTTATTCTAGTCTTCGGGTGCAAAATGGGTTAATGGCAAATTTCCTTTGGAATATAATGAAAATCCTTAAGTATGAATTACACTTCCAAGACAATAATGGTTTTTACAGAATGATAAGTTTAAGTTAACTTTATCTTTGATGCACTCAAAGATAGTAATGAGTTTCAATTGATGGATGTGGATTAATGTATTAAATGAGTGATTGTGAGGTGTATTTATAAATACTGAAGTGGTGTTTTGAAGTGATACCTTTTAAGTAATAAAATTCTCCTTAAAAGTTATAACCTATATTAATTCATAACCCTTATTGGTTCATGAATAACCTTATGTTAGTTTATGAATCAACATAGTTTAATAATTAATATTAACCATGGGTTAATTATAATAACTCCTCATGAAAAAAAATATCATTTAAATATGTAGATTTTTCTTTTCATCAAGTGATACATTTTAGTTTTATAACCTTTCAAATTAGGTGCCTTTAAAATTTTGAAAGACATAATCTTGATGACTATAATTTTCTACAATAAAAACTCCTTAATTTATAAGGGCATGACTTTTTGTAAAGACATCTCCTTATTTTGAAAATATTCCAACAATAGTTACTTTCAGTTATTTTGGCTTAATAACTTTTTCTCTTGGAAAATCTTCACAAAGACATCTCTTTATTTTGAAAATATTCCAACAATAATTACTTTAATTATTTTCGCTTAATAATTCATTCTTTTGGAAAATCTTGCATTTTAAATCTTGCATTTGAAATTCATGTATTTAAAATTCTTTATTTGGGTAGTTTAAAAAAATTCAAATAAAAAAGAGAGATGAACTGAAATTCAAAACAAAAATAAAAAATAAAAAATGATAAGCTTACTTATATTTTTAATTGATAAGAGATGAGAAAAGATACAGGAATCATAAATGTATTAATAATGAAAAAGCGAAGAGAATAAGATACTTCAAATGATTAGAATTTCAAACGATTAGAGTAAGAAAATTTTAAATTATAAAAAAATTATAATTTAAAATGAATTTAGACTTGAACTAAATCTAAATTCATATTTGTTTTTGTATCTAAGTGAGGGATTTGATTCAAATAAATCCAAATATACCATTAGTTTTTTATTTGATGATTCATGACTCCAAAAATCACTTTGTGTTTACTTTTGTTATTATTTCTTAGAATCTCACTTCTCAGCAATTCATTTCTTTTAAGAACCACTCTAGATTCATGTTTGGTCCGTTCCTAAATCTCTTGGTGTTTTTGCTCGGCATTATTCTAACCATAAAGACACTCCCATGTGCTTTTAGAGAGACTATGTTGTCATCAACGCGGATCTTGGCTTTCAGCTCGATAGGTTCTCTTCAATTAATTTTGAAGCTTTTTTCTGACCATAGTTAACACTGGGGGTTTCGTCAAGTGTTTCTTTTTAAGTTACTTTTTATTTTTAATTTACCTTTATTTTGAACCTTTTTATATAACTGTGGTATTGTGGACTTTAACTTGATCCTTTAATCAAAGAGGGCTTTTCTTGGCCATTTTCATCTATCATTTACATTTGTTTGCTCCTTAAAGTCACCTCTCTCTAGAATCAATTATATTCTTCACTAAGTTGGACCCATTTTTAATTTTTCTGAGTGAAATCTTTTGGTTAATTCTCATAATTCATTTTTGTCATATCTATTTATAGCTCCCTATTTCTCATTGTCATGATTGATATGTCGCTTAATCAATTTTGCTTGCTATCTCTATTGCTATATTGTTATCGCCATTACCTAGATACACCATTTGTGGTATTTTCCAGTTTAAATTGCTCATTATGATATCTTGCATGAGCACACCAAATACATTAATCAGATTGACTATCATTTTACTCTGCAACATAATGTATAATTGAGGTCTATTATCTACTTTTCATTAATTAACATGCTAGATGAATAAATTGACATATTTATTAAATCAAGTAATCCAAGTCATTGTCACATGTTGGTAGAAAACTAAGATCATCTTGATTTAAAGGGAGGATGATGATATAATTAAATATATATTATGATTAATTTAGGGCTTTATTCTATTTAATTAGTATAGTTTCTTGTTATATTTAATTTCCTATTCTAATGTGATTATTAAAATTGATTGTGCATCTAATTTATATTCATTAGGGTCATTGTTTTTCAATTTCATCTACACACAATTAGTGGCAGAGTTAGGACCCAAAACCAAGGCTGCAAGATAATTTAATAAAAATATTAATTTTTTAAAATGATAATTTAATAATTAAAAATAATAATTATGCTAGGAATAAAATTGTAATATTATAAAAAAGTTACATACCTTACTTGTAAAAATTATCAAGAATAGGGAGTATAAAGTTGTAAAATTTACATACCTTATTTATAATTTTTTCAAAATGATGGGGTGGAATAACATAATGCTACGGATGATATAAAGCCAAGGCTTCGTGCCATGAATTGGTAAATTATTAAATAAGTGCTTTGACTAAATTAATAAAATATTTTGTTTATAATTAATTTGATCATGATTTGATTATAGTTTTGATTCTTAACTCTTGAATCAATATTTTAACCGATTTGATAATTAGGCCGGTTTTACACCACTTACTTTTTTTTAAAGAAATATTTTTATTTTAGTTTGATAATGTTATGTATGTTTCTCTCTCTATAATATTTTCACGTTTCTTTTGATTTTTCAAATTTATTTTAAATTTTGAATCATTTTTATATAAAATAAATAGTCACTATTAAAAATTTCACACATTTCTTACAGTATAATATGATAAATTATAATGCATGATTATTATAGTTTACTATTTATGCATTTATGTTGTAATTTTTAAAATTTATATACTTTTTAATTTTTTTTATAAAATGTATCTTTTATCACTCTATAATATTTTTTTACTTTTATTTTACAATTTATGTATATAAATATAAAATAATAATAATTAAATGCTTTATTTATGAATGATCTTATCATGATTTGACTACAGTTTTGAGCCTTAGTCCTTGAATAAGTGTTTTGATTGAATTGGTTTTTAGCCCCTTGTTTTTTTTATAAGTTTTTTTTTAATAAAAGATCCTTACTTTAGTTTGATAATAGCTATATATATGTGTGTTTCTCTCTCCATAATATTTTCATATTTCATTTGATTTTTAAATTATTTTAAATTTTGACTTATTTTTATATAAAATAAATAATCATTATTAGAAATTTCACACATTTCTTGCGGTATAATACGATAAATTTTAATGCATGATTATTGTAGTTTACTGTTTATGCAATATGTATCCATGTTGTAATTTTTAAAATTTGTAGACTTTTTAATTAATTTTTAATAAATTAGTTTTTTTATATAGTTTTTTGAATAAGAGGAGAAGACTCAGTCTGGGGACTGAGCAAATTATCACTTTTTTGATATGGTTTTGTATTTGCCCTATATGTATCTTTCTCACTCTACAATATTTTCATATCTCATTCAATTTTAAGCTTTATTTTAAAATCTGAATATATATATATATATATATATAATCATTACTATAACTTTGTATATTATTATAATTACTATTATAAATTCATATACTTTTTGATCTTTTTTCTTCATAATTAGTTTTAATATTCCTCTATACTTAGACTTTTCTCTCTATTATATTTTCATATTTCATTGAAATTTTATCGCCTTCATTTCAAATTTTCAATCTCACACGCACACATATGGAGATGTGAAATTATAATAAATTTCATACAGTAAAATTGTATTCGGGGAAAGTAATAATTTGTTCTAATTATATGTATATACATGGGAAAAATTTATTTATAACTCTGATGATTTAAATAATTATAAATATCTAAAAAGCTATCATGTTAGTTTTCTTTAATGGGGAAGGAGAAGGTTGTGGGGCCCACTTGTTTGATTCAGTCATAGCGAACAGGTTGCTCCATAGTCCATAGCCTCTGCCTCTGCATTCTTTCTAGCTAAGCTCAGAGTGTGTGAAACGTGAAGAGAGAGAGAGAGAGAGAGAGAGAGAGAGAGAGAGAGAGAGGATTTCATGGCTTTGGCCCTCCATTTCATGGATCTTGAGAGAGAAGCCAGAGAAGAGAATCAAGAAGTAGACTTGATATAATTGAAAAAGTAGCTGGTCATACGTATCCTTCTATACTATCTCCTACTTTTTCTCTCCCTTTACCATCTCATTTTCCTATCAATTTCGTAGCTTTCCGTGTTTTCTTTCTTCTTTTTTTCACTTTTTCTTGTTTTTCTTGTATCCAAGAAATCAATATTTTCCCCATTTTTCTGATGCTACCGTGATTCGGAGTGTAGTACTCAATACTCATCAAACTCGCCTCTTTCTCTTTCTCTCTCTCTCTCTTCGTCTCATGTCCTGTATCTCTCTCTCTCTAACTTAACATCTTCACGCGTCTCTGTACTATATATCCATGTTCAGATCCTTTCTTTTCACTGATTAAGGTTTTGACATCGAGACATTGTCGTCTAATGACATTTATTGTTCTTGATCTTCTTTAGATCTGGAATCCAGATTGGGTAATCAGTCTTTTGAGCTGCGCACCGGCGCGACGTTTCGATTTGTTCGGGTAAATTTTCATGTAGTAAAGTTATGTTCTGTTTGTTAAGCTTGATGCGTTAATTGATTGGCAATTTTTATGCCTTATTTAGCTGGCTTGGAATATGCTGAACGAACAATTAAATGACATGCTGCTTAGCTCAGAAACTTGCCCTAGAAAATATAGTAATGAAAGTGCATTTAATTTGGTTAAACGTTAGTTTGCATGTCAGATCGTCGAAGTCATAATTGCGACATTAATTTCCCTCTAGTTCAAACCATCGCAAGTCTTTACTTCAATTAAAATGATTTCACACTCAAAAGAAGACTTGGTTGGCATTTAAATGGGACTATACATACAAGAAGGTTCCAAGATAACCTGAAATATCGAACGTAGGTCTTAAAATGGCTGTAGTGCACGAGAGGGGGCTTGCTCAAAAGTTGTCTTGAGAACTGTTCACTGCGGTGAAAGTTCTAGAAGGATGTGTTGAAGAAGTTTGGGAAGGCATGAGAAGACATGAGCTGAGTGCAAAAGAGAGGTCAAATAGGGGCAAACAATGACCTAGGTCAGAGTGAAAAACAACCCCCGGAAAACAGTCGCTCCGAAAAGCACCTGTCCTCAATTTTCAGTGGTTTCAAGGGTTTTTTTCGTCCATTGGCTCTAATAGAGGGGCGGCTGAAGAAGAGATGCGCAATCACTGTTAATGCACAGCTATGGAAAGGTGACAGCTTTTGATGAAACGAAGGATGTGCCTAAAACAAAAAACCAGAGTTCAGGTTAAAATAAGACTTGATGAGAATATTGTTGGTAGGATACAATATGCTCAACAGCTAGACAAAGAGTTAGTAACGATGTCTAGTGACCGTTAGACCTTTGGGTAGCTAAACAATGGATGTAAACATGCAAGATTCATACCAAACTGAAAATTGAAGTTAAGACTATTCAGAATGGTAACACTGTTAGACAGTTTTCCGTTGATACAAAAATATAGGGATAGAGAATGCTTGCACGCTTGGATTTTATGCACTCTTTCTGTGGCAAAACCCAGCTCTTACATATATTCTTATGTTCAATTAACGTTCTAGAAGTTTCTCATGTATTGTGCTCATTTAATATTATTGCGTTTTGTGTGCTTCATGTTTGCAGCATCTTTTGTTAATCTATTAGTTTGTTATAGTCCCCCATATTGCATGTGGTAAAAAATTTCCCCTTCTTTTATGCTTTCTGATTCTGATTATGGTGTTTTTACTTGCCTTCTCCTCTGTCTCAGAAATTATAATCAAAATAGGAACCATAAGTAACATGATGGGTGGAGGGGATGCTCCAAAAATGCCCAAAGTTCGGCGGTCCATGTTTGCAGCTGAAGAAGCAAGTTACCAAGGTAATGTTGGAGGAGAAGTACCTCTGAAGAAAGGCCCTTGGACAGCAGCAGAGGATGCAATTTTAATAGATTATGTCAAAAAATATGGGGAAGGAAATTGGAATGCAGTCCAAAAGAACTCAGGCCTTGCCCGCTGTGGGAAAAGCTGTCGTCTACGATGGGCAAATCACTTGAGACCAGATTTAAGAAAGGGTACATTTACTGAAGAGGAGGAGCGTCGAATCATTGAGCTCCATGCTAAGATGGGAAACAAGTGGGCCCGGATGGCGACAGAGGTCTGTTCTATATAACTTATTTAAACTTGTTTAACATGTATATGTTCATGTTTAGCTTCAATGGTATTGAAAAGCTCGATTGTGTAGTGGTTTGTATTTGATGTTCTTACACTATGACATGAAAAAAGTAGTGACTATTGACACTGATGAATTGCCGTGGACAATGCTATTTCAATACATTATAGATGCCATATGTATTAAGCTGTTCCATCTTATCCACCCTTGTACCATACATTAGCTATTATAGTCAGTTTAGTAATTGTTAATTTCTTTGTACTCTAGATTGTATGAGGGTAATATACAGATTAGCTATAGAAGGCATGGTGTGTGATTTTGTTGTGGGAGCTAAGACTGATCAATGGAAGTTCTTTTTTTACTGTAAGGATGATAAGATGGGATAGATTTGTTTCAGTCCGCCTCCATCCTTTTGGGCAGGGATTGAGCTTTCTTGTTATTATCTACTTTTTGAGAGTTGGTGAGCACTTGACTAACAGGTTGCATGGAACTAAGAAGAAGGGAAAAGGTATGTAACTGTTTGTTGAGAGTATTGAGAGGGCAAAAGTTGGGTAGAAATAGAATAGATAATAAAAAATTTATTATTAAAAGGGTCAATTATGGTGTGTCTTTCTGAAACTTAACCTTGATTTATAATTATAGTCTGACATATGAAAATCGGTGGTGTTTTGTGGTGATTTTAGTGCATTTAGGTTTCTAAATGGGAAGCTTGGTGATGCTTACTTTAATATCTAGTTTACTTGGTCCGTGTTAAGAGGCCATAGGGTTTCATCATGGTTGGATAGTATTTATTCGCTGGTATTTGGGGGTTATTTCCAAATTCTATGAAGGAGCCATGGTCTATTTAAATCATTCCTCTCGTTGATTGCAGATTTATAGTTTGTCTCATGGACTCTGCGCTTTGGGCAATATTGTTTACAATTTTAGTTCACGATATAATATAACATTCTGGCCATGTTTAATGCCTGTGTAACTATATGTAGTTTTAAGAAAATTGCGCAAAAGAATGTTTTTGATATTTGTTCTCATAAATTGTAGAATTATATGAATAGTCTGATATTAGCAAAGGAAAAAAATCTTCCGTTTGAGGAAATAAACCATTTTTTGAGTGGTCAAAATAATTGAGTTGTATGCTCATTCTTGATTTTCACTGCCCAAACTACCAAATAAAGATTTATGGGCATGTTCAATTTTGACTACGTTATTTTTGAGAAGAAACATTATATTTTAGAAAAATATAAATCCTACTTCCTTGTTAATCTATCTTTTGTTTTTCTGAAGTTTCATCAGAAAGTGGGAAGTGTTGTTACCACCTGGTTTTCCCATTTGGAGAGGAAAATGGTGGAGACTATTTTAAACTGATTTGTCTGACCATTATCACGTCTCATAGATCAATGGCAGGGAAGCAGGGTTTGCTTGTTTATGTCTGTGATGCCTTGTCACTGGCATTGTCCGTTTATTTATTTAATTTAATGTTGTTGTTTTTTTTTAAGGCAAGGAGTAGGTGTAGGATACAAGGGATATGAAGCCTGCAAATAGGAGCATAATGAGCTTCTGCCTCTTTGAGGCTGTTGCACTTGATGTTTTGGCATTTCAACTTTTTAAAAAAATCAGAGAGGAAAATGTTTTTGCAATGTTTTGAGACTTGGACCATCACCTGGTGAAGAAAGAGGTCTGGTTCAGCTAGTTAACTCATTTTGATAGTTGACCTGGTTAGCGCACTTTGAAGTGGGCCTTTTTTTTTTTTTTTGCCCCAAACCTGGCAAAAACCCGGTATGGTTTTTGTGGCTTATCTGTGTCTTCAAAGGGGCAAAGTTGGCATTCAGAAAAAATTCTAAATCCTTCAATCACTCACTCAAACACTTGATGCGCAGCTGCTCTTTTCTCTGTTCTGTGATCCGTCGGCCTTCATTGATTCACTTGTGAGTTGCGAACCCCATTTTCACTCTGTCTTTGTCTTCTTCAAGGGTGGTAGACTAGGAGTGGGAGCTCGATTTCATCTTCTTCACTCCTCAGCACAGCAGCGCCAACGGTAGTTCCAGTTTTCCTCTTCCACACTCCATCTTTGTCTTCTTCAGCTCAGTGGCACCAGCAGCAGGCCCCAACTAGTTAGTTTAGCTTTTTCATAAATGTTGCTTTCCCTTCCTTGCTATGCTTTCTTTCTCTGCTATTTGAAAAACTATTAAATCTGGTTTAAAGGATGACATTATAACTTGTTTAAAGGAAATTTCAAGCACCTGCAGCTGCCTGGCACTGATTCAATTTTATATTGTGCATCCCAGTTGACTTTCTTTCTCGCAAATAAAGTTGAGAAAGTTTCTTAAAAATTTCCTCCCTGCGCATGGAACCTGTTAGAAATAACAATACATATCCTAATTGGAACCTGAAACAAAAGGGCTAGCAGGAATATCAGTTGTCCATCTTCTGCAGGCTTCTTGGTACCTGAAAATGACTTAGTAGGAATTTTGACATTTGCCTCACAAAAGGGTTAAATGATGCATATCCTAATTGCACCTATGAAGTATCATAGAGAATCTAAAATGAAACTATAATGCACAGCACCGCCAAAAATAATGCTCCTGTAGATTTGACATGCCCGCTAATTAATTTAGAGGCAGTCCCATCAACTGTTGAAACATCTACATGTCTGAAAAGCTATTTGAAAATTGGCTACAGTTTATTTTTAGCGTTCTTTTTTCTGTGCTGTTTGGTTCTGGTTCTGTCATCAAAATTAGCTCCAATTTAAATTATTCTTCTTCTTGTTTTTTTTTTTTTTTTTGCTAGCTCTGTTGAGAATTAAGCTCGTCTAAATTCCTTTTTTTTTATTTTTTATTTTTAACACTGATGACAGAGTTTGTCAAAACTCTTAGAAGGCGATATTCTCAGCTTTGATTAAACTTTCTGTCTGCTTATGATTTATTATTTGAGTTTATTGACATTGGCAATTTTATATATTGTGGTGTTATTGTGCTGGCGACTGGGACATATTCTGAATTTGTGGTGGCGTTGTATTAATAACTTGACATATTGTGGTTTTTTTTTTGGGTCAAATTAATATTTTATTTCTTATATATATACATAAAAGTTATTTTTTTGTTAATTATTAGGTCACTAGTTCAATCACCAGTTAAACTGAGACCCGTGACCTGTTGACCTTTTCTGTTCATAATCCAGTCTGGGTTTTAAAACGTTATGTTTTTGTGTGTTTCTGCAATGTAATTATCAAATATATTATTTTTGGACAAATATTTAATATATTAATAAGATATTTAAGGAAAAAAATGATTAGAGTGATAAGAAACTTTTTTTTTTTTGGTTTTATTCTATTATAGAAAAGATGGTGGTGCTTGGTTCACTATCTTGCTCTACTTGTTTAAATAACCTAGTTAACATAGCTTTTGACATTCTTAAAAGAAATAAAAGTGAAAGATGAAGATAGACAGTGAAAAAGAGTGAACGGTTTCTGACATGTAAATATAATAAGAGGAAGCTAGTTGGGTAGTTAGTAAAGGCTATAATAGACAGATTAGCAATGTTAGCAAGGCACCTGCTATATAAGGTAATAAGGAGTCGCTGTAATTGGTGTGTATCATCAGTGAATGGATGTATGGGACTTGACTTGAGTTTCTTTTCTCTCGTTCCCTCTCCTCTGTCTTTCTTCTCTCTCCTGTCAGAGTTACAGAGATCTAACAATTTCCCATGCTTATTCCTATATATTGCCTTGGAAAGATTCCGCCTCCCTCTGAAAGCAGGAAAGAAAAAAAAAAAAAATGCTGCGAATCTAGAATCTTTTAAACATGACAAATGCTATGTCATGATTGCATGCACACAGTAAGGGGGAAAGACAGATAAAAGATGATGGAATAGTAGACCAGAAAATGTATTAAACTACATTAAGGACCACGTATTAACTACCATGCCTTGTGTTCATTCAATATAATTAATATCATCTTGTGTGTAGTCTGCGTCATGGAATAAAATGTAATTTGTTTGCTCTTGGTTATTTTCTTCTCTGTTCATTCCTTCTTTCTCTGTTTCAGTTGCCTGGACGTACGGATAATGAGATAAAGAATTACTGGAATACTAGAATTAAGAGAATGCAGCGAGCTGGATTACCAATTTATCCTCCTGAGATATGCCAGCAGGTTCGCAGTCAGGAAAATCCAAATGTGGGTACACTGATGAGTGGAGCCAGCCAGCACTCTGATATCCCACAAGATGGCAACTTCAATGTCCCTGAACTGGAATTCAAAGATTATGATTTCAGCCGGGGTTATCTACCATATGGACCCTCCATTTTAGATATTCCTGAAAGCAGTCTGTTTGAACAAACTGCAGGTCCGCCGCATAATGATGTTTTATTGTATGGAAACCCCTCGAAACGCCTTAGGGAGTCAGAGATGCTTTATGATAGATTGGACAACAGTAGCAGCTATATGATCCCAGCGTTTGATAAGTTTGTGGATTGTACTGCTGAGCCACCTCATCTTTTGTCTTCTCCTCCAAGCAACCTGTCCCTTGATGCCAATGATCAGTTTCGTGGCAATAATTTCCACGGCAGCCATGCCGCTTTAAATGGCAACACCTCTTCTTCGGCGCCCATATCTGAGGCAATGAAGTTGGAGCTCCCTTCACTCCAATATTTAGAAACTCAACAAGGTAGCTGGGATGCTAATGTATCCCCGCTTCCTTCACTGGAGTCTGTTGATACAATGTTTCAGCCTTCTCCAGTTGAACACTATCAGTCATGTACTGTTACTCCTGATAGTAATGGTTTGTTAGAATCGATCATTTATGAATCCAAGCTTCCGAGAGGTTCAAGTAATGATTTGTTTTGGAAGACCCCTGATGATTGCATGCTGAATGTGACTAAAACTGAGACAGAATGGGACCAACTTGGGGATACAAATTCACCCTTAGGTCACTCTTCTGCCTCAGTTCTTACAGATTATACTCCTCCTGTTAGCATTGGCTCAGTTGACGACACCTACTTCATCGAACACACAAAAGGTGAGTATACTATTTTTTTTTAATTTAATTGTTTAGCATCAGCATGGGCTGTGTGTTTATTTTGATAAATCTTTTTGGCATATTATTTTCCGTGTCAGCGGGACATGATTTGAAGCAGGAAGCAGTTTCACAGGATCCATCAAATGTTTCCAAGAGGAAAGAAACTTCAGGTCAGATAGAGATGACAAGGCCGGATGCTTTGCTTGACATGTGTTGGTTTGGGAACGATACCAGTTTCCGCTAGGAAGTCAGCGATCTTAGATTTGTGCTTGAGGCTTATATTTTGGTCTTCGTTAATGAGGTGCCTTTTCTTGCTTTGTACATTTGCTATGAGCCATTAGATTAGTTTAAGAAATTCTGTTGCATTTAGAAGCTACAGTTATGATAGATCAGAGCCGTTATATCAGATAATCTCTCTCCAATAACAATTTCAAGAATGATGCTGCTGATGTTGGAACAATGGGATTTGAAAATTTCGTATATCAGATAAGCTGACATTATCAAATCCTTGAAGTTGTTGCAGCTGATATTGCAAGAGTGGGATTTGAAATTTTTTCATATAAAGATAACCAGACTTAATCAATTTGGTGTGAAGATGATGATGATGCTGCTGGTGCTGGAAGAATGAGATTTGTAAATGCTATAGACTCATCTGAAATATCCATGTTATTTGATCTCAAAATTGGGCTCAATTGTTCATCCTTCACTAAAGATTTTTGCACTGCGCCCCCCCCCCCCCACACCAAAAAAATGTTTTCAAATCATTGCTGTATTCAATGTTGTCTTGAACGTGTCAATTGAAAATGTGAACTTCATGCACCGGTTCTAATGGATGATAGAACATTTTCAGTTTGTTTTAACGTTAGTGTTTGATTCGTTACAGCTGAGAAGTGGCGAGTCGATTTGTTTTGCTGGGGTAAATGGGTGAGACAAGTTATGATGGATTACGATTTCCGTTCTTAGCCGGGAATAGGATATCGTGTCAAATTAATTAGCATTGATTTGATATATTCTAGTTTAATAGGTTTTGACCGTAATCAATAATTAATTGAGAGTTAGTTCTTGACGGAATCTAAACCTAGAAACTTTATCTCCGAGTTAATGACAAATGTCACTTCGTAATCCTCTCATAATGAGATGGATTTGCCATGATACGATTTCTTAATTTGTGACTGTCTTTTATGCTTTCTTTTTTGTTTTCCTCTTTTTTTGTCCTCCTCTTTGACATATAAGATTTTAGTAGTTTAACCTATGCATGGGTTATTGGGTTAAGTGCTCCTGACCCGATTCTGGTGTGATTCTCTCCTGAGCTCCATTTATTTTAAGAATATTTATTTATTCTTGGATTTCTTTCAAGTTATTTAACAACAAAAGGTTATTTTCTTTCTTCTTTGATTATGCTATTTGAGTTGATCCCATAGCTATCATATGAGATCGAAGCATACATTTCAATCTTTTATCATCACCATCGCAGCATAGTGTTATTAAGGAGAGAGACAGAGATTGAAAGAGATACATGAAAAAGAGAACATAAAATACTAGGATATTGTTCAAACTTATATAGAGCACCCAATTTAAACACAATTACTATTTTGGTCTTAAGAATTATTCCATTTGTTTTTATATATAAGAGAAAAAAAATTGTATCACATAATTTAAAAAAGCCGATTAGTTATAATAATTATGTTTGGAAATGAAAAAAATTAGACAAAAATGATTTGTGTTAATCAACATAAATATATATTAATTATTTCTCGTTAATCTAAATTATGAGGGGTGATTTAGAAAATGTATAATAAATATTTATTGAAATGAGTGATTTGCTTATAAAAAAATATAAGTGAAAAGTGGTAGTTTTTCTAATAATAAAAAATGGAAGGAGTAAGACCATATCTACATATTTAAATTTTGAATAATCGAGCATACCTTTTCAGCAATAAAAAGTTCATCTATTTCAAGCATCATCTTTCTCCAATCTCATTCAGATATAGAATATGTAAAATAGAAAAAAAAAATATAAAAAACACCCACGCACACAATCGAGATGAGTAAGAGATGTCCCAATGGTCCCGTGTTCTACATCATCTTGGACATATATCTATCTCGGTCGCATTTTTCTGCCCCTTATTATGTTATCATGATCCGGTTTAGGGGTGAAAATAAATTAAATAGAACAAGGCTTTTGGTCAAACAAATATGAACCTACGTGGTAAGTCAAAGGCTTAAGTTTTACTTGAAGGCTTTATAAGACTTCTTTTTTTTTTTTTAAGACTCAAGCTTGAGTTTATTTTAAACCTTAATTTGCATCAATACAAACCATAAATTTAATACACAATAAAAGGATATATATTGTTATTAATAGATTTTTTTTAAAAAAAATTTTAAGATAGTAAATGGAGTTTTCCTTAGGGCTATTCTAGATGTATAATTTTATTTCAGTAGTAATATTCAATTTTATTTGGAAAATGCAGTCATATGTTTGGGGGAGCACTTCAAATAATGAATATTAGTTGGATTTTGAAACTACTATCAAAACTATCAAAATTCAAAATCAATCTATATGACCCTAGAGAGCAGCCTTTGTTTAAACTCGAGCAGTTTAATTTCTTGAAAACTCACTTCGAATATAAAACTTTGAATATTCAGAGAGGTTTTCAATGACGGGGCTTGGTAATAGATCACTTTGGATGTTACTATACCTTTTTTTATAGGCCTATGGCTTTCTATTCGATAATGCAATACACTCCCCTCGCCCCCTTAATGAGTCAACTAAGCCTTTAAGGGTGAGGACTTCCTCTCCTCCAGTTCACCTTTGGCTAAAGTAGAGAATCACTTTCTTATTTCCATATAAAGAGTTCTCTACTTTAGATAGCCATGTCATATGGAGCCACTGTCATCAAGAATAGTGTGTATAGTGGGTAGAATCTTAGTAAGGGTCACCGCTCCTCATTCTCTAGCCACTATATGTCTTGCTCTACAATAGGATAACTCTATTGTTTCACCATCCAGCCTTTTAGGGCTTCCTAAAGAGCGCAAACAACCAATATCATCTTGTCTTGTGGTCTGTGATATCTCTGAAAGATGCCTAAATGGCAACTTGAAGGAGGTTTTCCCAACAATCAGGGAAGACCACAAGATTCATTGGTTATTATTATATCATATTTGAATGACATGGCTCATAGGTATGAGTCACGAATAAATATAGAGTGAATTGATGTAACAAAGTGGTACTATCCTTATAGGGTACCCTCAAATGGTAAACCTAAGTGAAGTGACCCATGGGTATGGGTCACGAGTGAAGGACGTATCAATGTAGATTGGTTCATTGAATTCTTTTCTATTGTCTTCTTTCCTTGATGTGGTTGTTAAGAGTAAAACTGAAGTAGATTCAGTTATTTACTAACTTGGCTTGAAAGCCTAAATAAGGTTTTAAATATATTTACATATTAGTTTTAAATGTTTCAAATTATATATATATATATATAATGAATTCTCAAGGAAAAATGATAGAAAAAATCCCCTTGAAACGTGTAAATAATAATAAAATTTTGCAAAATGCTATAATTAGTCTTAAATCCTTGGGGACTTTTTTTAGCATTAATATTTTGTGAAATGACTAAAATACCCTCAATTTAAACTAAAGTATAAGTGATTGTTCCGTTTTAGTTATTACTAAAAAAAAGTAGTCATTACTTAAATAAAAGTAATTATGAATATTTACAACACTTGTACTTTAGTGAAAAAACTCTGCACAGAAAAAGTAGTAATTACTTGTTCTATTATAGTCATTGCAAGAAGAAAAAATAGTTATTACTTAAGCTAAAGTAATCACTAATATTTATAACACTTGGATTTCAGTAAAAAAAAATTTACACAAGAAAAGTTATAATTTTTTTTTCATTTTAGTCATTGCCAAAAGAAAAATAGTGCTTGTTTAAACTATAGTAGTCTCATATATTTACAATTGTTAATTAGATATTTGCATAAAGGAAGTTGCAATTGCTTGTTTCATGTTAATTATTATTAGAATAGAATAAAAGTAATCATTGTCTATTGTTTAAACAAAGTAATTATTGATATTAACTTTTTTGAGGTGCTAGAGTTGTTACTTTTTTTTCTTTTGTCAAATGTTAGAAAAGTCTCTAGGGATTTGAGAAGAATTATAGTATTTTACAAGATCTCATTGTCATTTGTATATTTTAGGGGATTTTTTTATCCTTTTCCCAATTATCAATTAAAATACATCTAATAATTAAGAGAACTTACCAACTAGAATAAAATATAATAGTAAAGTAACAACATTAAAATCAATATATAAATCTAATCTAATTGAAAACATAACTATGAATAAAAAAGAATAGATTGATTAAAAATCAAATAATAAAATTAATTAGTATATACTATATTACATAATAATAATATATATGTAAATAAGCTGGCTTGTTAGACTTGTAAGTTAGGCTTTCTAAATATAAACCTAGCATATTTAACTACATATGCCTATTATCAAAGGCCTATATCTAGCCTAGACCTAGTTAATATAAACATATAAGGTTATGCTTGAAATAGGCCAAATTGTAAGCTCCTTATTTCTACTTCTATATCCATCCATTCAAATCAAATTCTATACACACCCATGCTAAAGGGGAGTCTTTTAATGACTTTTTTAGTATAAACGAGGAAAAATTATGTTTAAGGACCAGAATTATTAGTCATTTACATAAAAGAATGTTAAATTTATGAAATAATAAGACTTACATCCTTAGTTTTATATACTTAATATATTTGTATCCAATCAAATTATGACAAGTGAATCTTAATATGTAAATAAAATTAATAATAAGAATTTATTATTGAATAAATAATTTATAAAAAATTCATATATGTTAATTTCATTAAAAATAAACATGTTAAGTATGTAAGGTTAAATATATATATATATTTACGAAAATTGTGTTGTAGGGTGTATTTCTTTGAAAGTAAATAAGATGTATAATGATTGAAATGCCCATAAGGCACATAACTTACGTAGTTTTTCTTGTGCTTTGCATGAGCAAAAAGTAGAGAGGAAAGGTTACTGTTGTTGTTAAGGTGAAATCAATCACTTTTTGTCCCTCAATTTTTTCTTATGCTCAGCAAGCATAATTAAAAAAAAAAAAAAGATTTAGATCCAACAGACAGCAAAAATATTCTAATTTAATAAATATTACAATGATGTAACAATAATTGTTCAATTTAATCGAATAGTTATTAAAGATTTTATTACATGATACACAAAAAGCATCAAATCTCAAATTTTTAAAGGAAATAGCATTCACCAAGAGTGTTTTGATTATAAGAGTTGTTTTGAATTTTTTTAAAAAAATATATTTTAATAATTTTTAAATGTTGGTAATATCCAATGGTTATAATTCAGAATTCCTTGAGTGGGTAGAGTTAGACTATCCACTAGATCCAAATATAAGGGGGGAAAACACTTCCTTTGACCTTTCTGTTCTTTCCATTTTCTCTGCTTTCATTTTCTTAGTGCCCAATTCTCTTCTTAGCCAAGCATAATATTAATGATCACAAATAGCAAATTCAATATTGAGACAAATGGAATTCAATAGTCATTAATAGAAAATTTAATTGTCTTAAATTTCCTAGGGCTGAATGCTACATTTTCTATGTGTGACTACTAAATTCCTATTGAAAGATATAAAGTAGGTGTCTCATGAGTATTTTAGTCGTTACACCTGTTTTCTATTTCTAGAGGGGGGACTTTCGTGAGTTGGTCCTACAAAATGATTTCAGAAATTTAAGATCCTTTTTTGTGAAAAAAAGAACCCATTTTCATCTTTATGCATAATGTTAAGG